ACAAAAACCACATTTACAACTCCTTGAGGTGTAAAGGGGATGTAAAAGTGGCTTTACACCCCCCCGAAAATACACCCCCTCACTATGGAGGTCTAATGGCATAATATTAATGCATTTGCTGTATTTTTTCTATTTTTAATTAGCATGTGGATCTCATGGTTAGCCTATTACAATTGCAATAGAGTTTCATCAAATAGCACCCTCTATTGTAATGAACCAAATTCAACCATTACAAGTGAGATTTTACTGTTTTAGTACAATTTCATGCAATAAAATTACATTGATCCTAATAATTGTAGATACTCTTAGGATTGAGAGTATTGTAAGTCTGAATAGGATTATATGAACCAAACACACACACACACACACACACACACACACCTTGATCAGACATGACAGGCACAAGAAGTTTGCTGATCTGCGTCTAGTTTTGTTTGGCAGTTGTTTGACAGACTTTCGACAGGCATTTGGTAGATGCTCGGCAGGTGTTCGACAGAATTACTCAGCGAGGAAATCTTCTCTGCTACTCGGCACCTTAACTCTCTCTAGATGGGGTGAGTTTTATTGAGTATTTGCCGATAGCACATGGACTTCCTTTTATAGGCTAAGCTTAAGAATCCTCCTCATCAAAGACTTCTTAAGCTCTCCTTAAGCCATCATGATTTAGCCATTCCAATCCACATGTAATTAGGAATCCTTTAGCACTTAGTATTGAACTAAAATAATCACTTATACTTAGTCTAAAAGTCTGATCATATATGTACTCCTAATTGGCATAGAACTAGTTAACCGTATATGATTAGAAGACCATCTTAGTGTTTGCTTTAGAATGCAAACCTTACATTCTCCCACTTGGTCAATTAATCACTAAAGAACTATGTCAATTATTGTAAGGCCTTGTGAAGCACATTTTGATCTTGTTTCCTTACCAAGCCACTGTCAACAACGAATTATGATAATGAGCCATCAAGACTGACCAAAGAAACTCTATGAAGTCTTTATAGCCACAATCAACATTCTCCATTGTCAAGATTGAAACTACAGAATAGTCATAGTTAACTGAAAGTGAAATGATCACTATGCTATTCTTTACAGTCCAACTTATAGGATTACTCAAGATCCTTTCTTTTGCTCTAGGCAAAATATCATTGTCATGAATGCATTGCTTTAGCAGTTATCCTTAAGCTAGCAACAACTTTATTTACTGCTTACTGCATTCAAGTATATATATATATATATACTTAAACAAAATATATATTGTATTAAACCATGCCAACATCCATCGAAATCAAACTTTAACTAATCAAGGAAATAACCACACTTGTCTTTAAACAGAAAACTTTTAAAATAACTAAAAGGAAACTGCTCCCACCGTTTTTAAGCATCGAAACTAGCCAATAGTCCCATACTAGTCACATGCCTTTTGAAAATACCATTTGGAAGCCCCTTGTTGAATGGATCTGCTATCATCAAATCTGTACCAAGGTGATCTAATGCAATGCTTCCATCATTGACCTTTTCTTTTACAGACAAGAACTTTAATGACAATGGCTTGCCCCCAATCGATTTCTTATTTCCTTTTGCAAACAAAACAGATGAGCTGTTATCATTCCATATTTGAATAGGTCTTTCCAAAGTTCCTAAAATAGTCAAACTTATTAGAAAGTTCTTTAACCAAATTGCTTGACATGTAGCTTTATAACAAGCAATGAACTCAGCCTGCATAGTTGAAGTAGTTACAACAGACTACTTGACACTTTTCCAAGACACTACAGCTCCTCCAAACAGAAAAACAAAACCTGACGTGGATTTCAAGTCATCTGCACATCCTGCAAAGTTAGCATCTGCATAACCAACCAATTCCAAATTGTCACTCCTTTTATAAATCAATTTAAAGTCTTTGGTTCTCTACAAGTATCTCATTACTTTCTTCCCTACAACCCAATGAGCTTGTCCTGGATTCAACTGAAACCTTCTTAGAACACTTATAGGAAATGCTATATAAGGTCTTGTGCAGACTTGAGCATACATGAGACTGCCAACTAGAGAAGCATAGGGTTTATCTGTCATCTCCAATTTCTCATGATCTATTTTAGGTGCTTGTTCTCGATTGAGTTTGTCCCCTTTGTTAATAGGCACATCTCCTCCAGCACAGTCCATCATATTAAACATTTTGAGTATTTTCTCAATGTACCCTTTTTGTGAGAGTCCTAGATAACCCTTTTTCCTATCTCGACTGATTTCTATTCCAAGAACATATGATGCCTCTCCCAAGTCAGTCATTTCAAAATGTTTGGACAAAAAAACTTTAACATCATGCAACAATGTGAGATTACTACTTGCTAGAAGTATGTCATCCACATAGAGGATTAGTATCATGAAATGCCTCCCACTGACCTTGACATATATACATGTACATGAGTCTAGAATGTTTTCTTTAAAACCATAAGTCTTGATAACCTCATCAAATCTCATGTACCACTGTCTAGAGGCTTGTTTTAAGCCATATATCAATTTGTTCAGTTTGCAGACCATGTTTTCTTATCCTTCTTGAACAAAACCCTCATGTTGTTGCATATAAATCTCTTCTTTTAGATATCCATTTAAAAATGCAGTTTTGACATCCATTTGGTGAAGATGTAGGTCAAAATGTGCAACTAATGTCATGATTACTCTAAAAGAATCTTTAGTGGACATTGGCGAGAAAGTTTTAGTGTAGTCAATGCCTTCTTGTTCTGTGTACCCTTTAGCAACCAACCTAGCCTTATATCTGTCTATTGCACCCTTTGAGTCTCTTTTGGTCTTATAAACCCACTTGCAGCCTATTGGTTTACTTCCTTGAGGCAAAAACTTTAATTCCCAAACTCCATTCTTTCTCATTGACTCTAATTCAGATTTCATTGCAACCAACCACCTTTCATTGTCTTCACTCATTATGGCTTGCTTAAAATTCTCAGGATCATCCTTTCCAAGTATGTCATTCTCAGATCCTTGCAAATATACATAGTAATCCGGCAATGCAGATCTCCTTGCTCTTTTTGACCTTCTCAACTCCATATCCTGCATATTTTGGTCTGTGCCTTGTATGTCATTGCTGTTTTGTGCAGGTGGATTTGTGTTTTGTGCCTGATCCGTGTCTTCTTCCATATTGTCAGGGTTTTTATAATTTGTGTCAACTGCGGGTATTATAACAATGCCTTTACTTGCCTCAGATCCAGCATGGTTATCTATCTCAATTGATTCTTCATCAAAATCCAAAACTCTATCTTCTATTTTATCAGATTCATTTTCCATGAAAACTGCTCTTTGAGTCTCAACAAATCTTGAAGTGTTCTTTGGACAATAGAACCTATACCCTTTTGATCCTTCAGGATAGCCAATAAAATAGCAGCTCACAGTTCTTGAGTCTAGCTTCTTTTCCACAGGGTTGTAGAGTTTTGCCTCTGCTTTACAACCCCAAACCTTTAAGTGGTTTAAGCTTGGTTTCCTTTTATTCCAAATTTTGAAAGGGGTTTTGTTAACACTTTTTGTTGGAACTTTATTCAAGATATAGTTTGTAGTCGTCAAGGCTTCGCCCCACAGGAAAATAGATTGGTACAACACATCATGCTTCTTACCATGTCTTTTGAAGTCCTATTCCTTCTCTCATAAACTCCATTTTGCTGAGGTGTACCTGGATTGGTATACTGAGCTATTATTCCTTCTTCTTGGAGATATTTTGCAAAAGGGCCTGGATTTCTTCCAGCTTCATCAAATCTGCCATAGTATTCTCCACCTCTATCTGATCGTACCACCTTTATTTTCAATTCCAGTTGCCTTTCTACTTCTGTTTTATAAACTTTGAACCCATAGTATTCTCCACCTCTATCTGATCGTACCACCTTTATTTTCAATTCCAGTTGCCTTTCTACTTCTGTTTTATAAACTTTGAACATATCTAATGCTTCAAACTTTTCTTTTATTAAGTAGACATGTCCAAATCTCGAGTGATCTTTTGTGAAAGTGATGAAGTACTTATAACCTTCATGTGTTGGATTTGGAAAAGGACCACAGATATATGTGTGAAGGAATTCCAACATATTTTCACTTCTTACTGCTCCTTTCTTTCTCAAGTTTGTCAATTTTCCTTTTATGCATTCAACACAGTTTTCATCCATGTCATTAAAGTCAATTGGTGGCAGCACTGATTCTTTACACAGGGAGTTCATTCTTTCTCTTGAAATATGGCCAAGCCTTTATGCCAAAGTTTAGATGATATGGGATTCTTTTGTTTCGTATTTGCAACATTCATAACCACTTGAGGTGTTTTGCAGTTCAATTGAAACATATTTCCAACAAGAAAACCATTCCCAACTACTTCTTTATTATTGAAAATTGAAAATCCAAATTCATCAAAACTTAAAGTAAGTTTTGATTTAACAAGTCTAGCAACTGAAATAAGGTTCCTTGTCATAGAAGGAACATAGACTACATCTACCAAATCTAAAACAAAACCAGAATCTAGTTGAATCCTAACTGCTCCAATGAACTCCACTTTTAACTTTGACTCCATTGCCTACGAACACCTTCACCTCATCCTTGTTTGGCGGTCTCTTGGTTATGAGCCCCTGCAAAGAATTAGCAACATGTATTGAAGCACCATTATCTAACCAGCAAGTGTCAGTTGAAACCTCAATCACGTTTGATTCAAAACAAACCAAAATATTTACATCCTTACCTTCATTCTTGCCTTTGGTTTTCTGTTTCTCTAACCACCTCTTGTACCTCTTGCAGTCCCTCTTCATATGTCCAAACTTTCTACAGAAAAAGCACTTTAGTCCAGTTGGTTTTCCCTCTTTTGCATTGGTACCTTCCTTGTCTTTCTTTTCTCCAAAACTTGCCTTTTTATCTTTGTTCTGTTTGCCACGATAATCCTGCACCATGTTCATAGCTTTCTGACCCCTTTCATTGATTATATTGTTCTCTTCTTGAACACTTATTGTAATGAGATCATCTATTGTCTAGCTTTCCTTTTGAGCCACATAAGAACTCTTGAGAGTTTTGAATTCCTTTGGCAGTGAATTCAAAGCAAAATGCACCATCATATCCTCATCTATAGTCATGTTTAGTTCCTTTAGCTTGTGTGCAATGTCTGCCATATTCATTATGTGAGCTCTTACACAACCTCGCCCATCATACTTCATCTCAGTCAATTTGTTCAGCAAAGCATCTTTCTCTCCTTTCTCAGATTCCTTAAACTTCTGACCAATGGCAGCAAGATAATCCTTGGCACTTTTTGATCTTGGAATGCTTCCTCTCAAAGAAGGTGTCATGGTTTTCAGCATAATCAGTGTAGCCATCCTGTTGGCCTTTTCCCACCTTTCATATTTCCTTTTGACATATGCAGTTGCATCTACAGCAGGTTCCTTGATTACATCCCACTTTAGAGCTATATCATAGTCCATCAATCCTAATGAAATTTCCAATTCTTCTTTCCACTTTAGGTAGTTTGATCCAGTCAAGATTTCGATGGAGTTGTAACTTGAAGCACTCACTGTAATTTAAAGAAAACTTAAATAAAACCATCCCCAGAATCTTTAACTAAACATTATTGTCTTGCACCTGTAGGTCACAAGTCAAACATGTTCCAAAGTACTTAGAAGAACAGGTTTTGTACGAGCAGTCTTGAAACAAGAGACAACACCACATCTGTAGATAGAAGAGTGTTCCTTGTTTGCTTACACAACCTGTTTTCTAAACTGTTCCATTACATTCATCCTCATATGCACAATTCACGTCTGTGGACAGAGAATTGTACATGAGAGTTTGAGTGTAATGCAATTTTGATCAAAACTTTGAATGAGAATTCTCCTGTACCAATTGAGTTGCTGTGGCTCACTCAATTGATCCAAGATCCTCCCCAAACCTTGACCATCAGTCTTTCAAGCATGATTTAAGCAGAAAACTTTATGCTTATCTCATACCTTATCAAATAAGATATGCAATGTGTATCAATTGAAACATACATGCTATAATGACTAGTGTTTTCTCTAAACTGTGTCATGCTTCATAAAAAACCATATTTTAATCCTTTTATGTAAGTCGTGTCTTGTTTTATTTGTGATTAGGTTAAGAACATATAACCTAAAGCTTTGATACCACATGTAAGTCTGAATAGGATTATATGAACCAAACACACACATACACACACACCTTGATCAGACATAACGAGCACAGGAAGTTTGCTAATCTGCGTCTGGTTTTGTTTGGCAGTTGTTTGACAGGCTTTCGATAGGCGTTTGGCAGATGCTCGGCAAGTGTTCGATAGAATTACTCAGCGAGGAAATCTTCTCTGCTACTCGGCACCTTAACTCTCTCTAGATGGGGTGAGTATTTTATTGAGTATTTGCCGATAGCACAGGGACTTCCTTTTATAGGCTAAGCTTAAGAATCCTCCTCATCAAAGACTTCTTAAGCTCTCCTTAAGCCATCATGATTTAGCCGTTCCAATCCACATGTAATTAGGAAACCTTTAGCACTTAGTATTGAACTAAAATAATCACTTATACTTAGTCTAAAAATCTGATCATATATGTACTCCTAATTGGTATAGAACTAGTTAACCGTATATGATTAGAAGACCATCTTAGTGTTTGCTTTAGAATGCAAACCTTACAAGTATATCATTTCACTTTTTTAATCGATAGGAACTATCCACCGAATGGGTCGGTGCTCCTGCCCCAAAGACATACATGCTAACTTGAATTCACCTAAATCATAACCCGTAAAAAGTTGTGAACAATCATGAACATAAAACATTAAAATCTTAAACTCAACAGGTATCATATGATTTGAATTCCACATAACACATGCAACACATGGGGATGAGTAACCACAGACAAACATTGCAATTTCCAAAGTCCCTAAATTCCCAAACCACACATTACCCAATCCATTTATGGAACGAAAACGATAATAAAACCCTAAAATGATCCAAAATAAGTGCATATCGTATCATATTTTGAATTGCACTGGTGCTTTGCTTGCTTGGTCACATTTTAAGCTTACGTGTGCAAACATACAGGTGCACTAAACCAAAGCACTACACGTAACACTCCTCCATCCAATTTCCCACGTGGCAAGTCAAAGGTGCCCATCACGACACGTATGAGATAAAAACCATACTCAAAAGTTCAAATCATATATTCAAAACCCTATCCACTTTCCCAGCTTCAAATATCTCTCTCTCTCTCCCTCCCTGCCTCTATAAATATGCCCATTTTTGTGGATCTCAAATGAGAGAGAGAGAGAGAGAGAGATAGGTTTAGAACACAGAAATGGGACTTAGAATTGTGTATGGGGTGCTGTTTCTGTCTTTCTCTTGCGCCTGCATCAAGCTCATCCACCTTATGCTTCACCCAGTATTCTACTACACCACCTGAGGATTGATGGGAAGCTAAGGCTCCACAAGGTCAAATGTTGACCAAAAACAAGAAGAAAAAAATGGGTTAGCTAGCCACAGAATCGGTATTTTGGTTTATTTTTATTCTTATATGTATAATTCAATAGGGTTTGTATTGTTTGTGGGTTACGAACGTTGTTGATGTGTGTGGTATTGATATTTGTATAAGTGAGGATTTAGTTTGATGTATTTTGGTGCCGACACCGTTTGATTGAAGTTCATTGTTTGTTTTATAGTCATGGGAACTGTTTGTTTTATGGACTTGTAATCGTAAATTTTCAATAATGTATTTATGATGTGGTGGCTTTCCTGGAATTTTTTCGATGGTGGTGGGTGGGTCATGAAGCTTTTCTTTGTTGGGCTAGAAATAGCATTCACGAGTCATGATGAGCCATGACGTTGGTGTTGCTTGGAGGATTGGACTCAGAAAAAGGAAAATAAATATCAAGCTCAAAAGAATGGGCTATAAGCATCTGTGGGGACACTTGAGTCTATAAAATCACTTTCCAAAAATTAGTGTTATAATGTAGGATAAGACTTTTTTATAATTCGGGTACGGGGATTCCCTGAAAGTTCTTATCGGGACGAAGATGGTATTATCATACCCTAAACTCTAAGAATAAATTTTATTCTTATATCATGTGAAATTGCAAAACAAACTAATTCTTGTATTTTGGTTGCTTGGTGAGAGTTTATTATGTCCACGTGTCAAACTGTGATATGAATATAAGTATTTTGACTATTTTCAAAACAATTAGAAAATGTTTACACTCAATTATTCATGGAATTGATATATAAAAAAGAATGTAATAAGTGTGAATAGAATAATAGGTGTATGGAAACATGTTACCGTAAACCAAAGTGTCAAACACATTCGATTGTCAATTAGATTTAGATTCCTGAACTGAATTTTTTCAAAGTTGAATAAAAGTTGTTTGGTTGAATTTAAAATTTGTATATTAACTTATTCTTGATCAAATCCATTGTTTATATCACTGGTTTTGACTATAATCATCGAGAACCACCTCAGAGTTCCTTGTATTATTTGGAAACCAGCTTCACTGGTGTGTTAAAATCCAAAATAATAATCATTGGCTTTGTTTAATCAAAATCGTTAGAGTAATATAATGGTTAAACATGTTGTCACATCAGCTACCTTAATATTAATATTTACATTACACATATTGTAAAATTAAGTTAAGTTAACCGATGCGATAAACTAAATGAATGTAAATATAGAAACTCGGAATCCTATTTATTAAATTTCTGACTTCACCACCATCAATTGTTAGAGATACGTGTTTCCTTCAAACATAATTCAAAAACAATCTAATTAGAATTTGTTTTTTTGGTTCTAATTCGATAGTTGACAACCAATAACCTACTTTATTTATTCGTTTCTTTTTGCTAAAAATAAAAAACTAAAGTATGTACAAGGCACAAGTACAACCATGTTGCATAATTCATACTTTCCCTCCATATACAATGAAACCCTTTGGCTCCCTTTTTGTTTTTTGTTTGCTCAAGCTAAAACAGAAGTTTGGTGAGAAAATAAGTTTTCTATTTCTAATATTTTTTTTTTAAAGGAAAAAGAAACCAATAAACAAGACATCATCCTATTTTATTTTTATCGCGGATTTATTTTAAGATTTTGTACTTAATAAAGAAGTGAATCGTAGGATTTTCCTCGTCACCCAATTTATAAAAACGAAAGAGAAATTGACCCGTAAGGCAACTCATTAAGTTAAAATGGGGCAGATTAGCGGTTAAACACCAAGAATCTAGATAAAGAAAGGAAAAAGAAACCAAAATAAACAAGACATCATCCTATTTTATTTTTATCGCGGATTTATTTTAAGATTTCGTACTTAATAAAGAAGTGAATCGTAGGATTTTCCTCGTCACCAAATTTATAAAAAGGAAAGAGAAATTGACCCGTAAGGCAACTCATTAAGTTAAAATGGGGCAGATTAGCGGTTAAACACCAAGAATCTAGATAAAGACAGCAGGTTTGTTACTTGTTTCCAATTAAAATTAGAGGCAGAGGATAATACAGGCAGAAATTAACACAATTAACAAAGAAAAAATTAATTAATTTAGTTTAGCCGTCTTTTTTTAACTGGGTTCAGATTTTTTTTTTAGTCACATTCCTTAACATGGTCAATGTCATGCTTTCTTGGAAACTTCGTCAATCTTAAACTCCCTTTTCACACTATATATTCATCTCACACCAACTTCATTCAACGCCAGTTTCTTTTTTTAATCTTTTGTTAGGATGCGCTTCTTGGGTTTTTTCCATGTTCTTATTGGTACAAAATTTTCTTGATAGTGTTTGATCCAAATTGAAACTTTTTTTATTCTGAGAGAGAGAGAGAGAGAGAGAGAGAGAGAGAGAGAGAGAGATGGATAACTCCCCCCTTTTCACACTATATATTCATCTCACAACCACTTCATTCAACGCCAGTTTCTTTTTTTAATCTTTTGTTAGGATGCGTTTCTTGGGTTTTTTCCATGTTCTTATTGGTACAAAATGTTCTTGATAGTGTTTGATCCAAATTGAAACTTTTTTTTATTCTGAGAGAGAGAGAGAGAGAGAGAGAGAGAGAGAGAGAGAGAGAGAGAGAGATGGATAACTCTATTGGAGTTGGGTTCATGGCTGTTTTTGCTGTATCTGGAAGCGTGGTTCTTCTTGCCCATCAAGTCCACAAGCGCCTTCTCTCAGATTTCATGAAGAACATTGAATGTGAAATGGGAGGTTTGCTTGACCACCACAAAAAAATGGCTTCTGGTAAGTCTTTTCGTTTCATTTTTGCAGGAATAATTTAGCAATAGTCCTTGAACTTTGACCCGTCTTTTCTCGAAACTTCTAAAATTCGACAGTCTTTTTTTGTTTCAATTTTTCGGGGGATTAGGATCTGAGAAAATCCAAGGCAAGAAGTGTGTTAGATTTGCAGCAGATGTTGCGGAGCCATCATCAAACAACAAAGAGTACCGCAAGAGGCGCTTTGCACCAACAACGAAGAAGACCAAAGAGGGAAATGGAAATTCTAAAATGGAGGACACCATGCCACTCAATAGGCAAGCTCTTTACAAAGGGATCATTGAATTTAAGTCCCTCAAGGGGGCGCATGTATATTGAGCTTAATTTTGTTTTTTTGTTTTTTGTTTTTCGTGTTCGTGTCGTGTTTGCATATTTTCTATTTGTGTATATTTAGGTGTTTGTTTCTTTTTTCTTTTCTTTTTTTAATTTTAACTTTTTCCCTTCCTAAAAGAAATAATGAGAGGTTTAAGAAAACTCCTACGGTTTTGCGCCTATATATTATTCATTTCATAACGACTCGTCACGTGTTATTTAAGCGACGAAAAGATTATGAGATGGAAGTATATATGCCGCACTGTAGTGAAGACTTCCTCAGAGGTTTAGCCGTCCATAGACTTAGCTCCATGGATTTGAAAAGTCTTGTAGGAAATTTGGGCATAGAAAGTAGTTTATTGTGAATAAAAGGGAATTTGGGTGTTCATTACCATTAGTTGACCAAAACCTTGGAATTATCAAAGGATAATTCCATCAAAGATTGACATGCACTGCATGACTCAGTCTTTGGTTGTATTTTTACTGTGTGTAATGTTTCTGTATCTTGTATAAAAAAAAATATATGGACATAAATAAAACAGTGCTCTGCCTGCAGGTTATTGTAAATTCTTTGTGCAGTGGTTTTGCAGCTTTTATATTTATATTTTTCTAATTTTGGTTAATAGGTTTTACAAAAGATGAAGGGGAAACTCAAAGAAAATACATATTTGGAATGGGAAATTACATCAAAGGATCACATGCATTCACCTTACCAAAAGTTACATTTCTTGTAAGCTAAGAAGAAGAAAAAGAAGTTACCTTTCTGGAGAGGGGGGGAGGATAAATGTCTAGAGAATATGAATCTTTGTTATCTATCTTGAAATTTACTTATTTAGGTAGATCATTTTTCAATGAATCAATGTAGTAGAGGGGGTGAATATGCTATGACTATTTGTAATTTTTTTATTTTTTAGACAAAGCGATATTCTAAACTATTTTAATGTATGGTAAGGCGAATTGAACCCGGTGTAATGTTGCATTCCTAAGAGGACACAAATTAATGTGCAAACAACCAATTAAAAATACCCGCAAGTGCACGAATCTATTAAAGTATAGATTATGTAAGTACGGGATCGATCCCACGAAGAACTTGTCGGCTTCCTATAAGTTCTAATTTGAGTACGTAAAGAATACTAATTTAACACACCACAAATGCACAAATGCAAATTGGAAACTAAAAATGAGTAAAGAAATGTAAAAGAAATGAAACAACACAAGAAAACTAAAGAAAAACACAAACAGCACTTTTTATCACCCTTTTATCACCTATGAACAGTGCTAAAGCGACCGGTCGTGAGGCAGAAGCGACCGGTCGTTTTTGGGCAGAGTCGAAACTCAAATTTTGACGTGAAAAGCGACCGGTCGTCAGGTAAAAGCGACCGGTCGTTTTTGGGCAGATTCGTTTTCTCTGTTTTTCAGTTTCGACCTCTGTCCAGTGTTTTGCCTATAACTTTCCAACCGTACGTCCAAAATTCACGTTATTTATACGGTTGGATTCAGCACAGAAAATGCAAGAACACAACGCGGACCAAAAGTCCAAAACAGTTACGAAAATAAACAGAATTCAGTAAACAAGACACACAATGTAACAAACACACAACTCACACACACATTGGGGGGGGGTTTTGGTTTGGTTCAAGTGACCTAATTCTATTGCATGAAAGTAAATGGACTTTGAATTTAAATGAGAATGGCAGAGATGAATTATCAAAATGTGAAAGTACCAAGTAACAAACACTAGGGTTTCGGAATCCACCCTAAACAATTCTACCCAAGTTCATGAATACTCAAGTGATGAACTCTAAACGTGTTGATGAAGATGTTCGCAATCAAGACCATGGGTCGTGGCTCAAGACGCATTGATCCTCTCTAATATACGTAAAGTGCATGGTTCGTGCTACAATACTTGTGCCCTCCCCATAACCGAACCTAGGTATGGTTCGTACTTCGATTCAATTACAAGGAGAACCCATTAAGTTCAAAGAGAATATGAACATCACAAGAATCCTAATAGCATGGTGTTTACATTAGGTATTCAAGAAACCAATTCACATGGATGATTCTTACTTCATCCATTTATTGTGTAAGGAGGAGGGAGACACACTGCCTTAGCTAATTGGCTAAACCTATGTTTGCAAATGTGACTAGTCTTCTTCTGCAGGTATTGTAAATTTTAATAAAAAAATATAAGTGTATTATTGAAAAAAAAGAAGAAGAATAAACCTTGATTTCTAATACTGATAATCCCTCTAGAAGTTAAACATGGGTTTCCCAATAAGTGCATCTTTTGCGGCTCTTAACAGGATCAAAAGTCCATACAGAGAAATACTATCTTCATTTGGGTTTGGATCCATGATCTTTGATCACATGTTTATGGGCCTTGTGAATATTACCCAACACTGCTTTTAGACTGCATACAACTTTGACATTTAGATGAGGATAAGTCTTGCCTTCTTTGTCATAGTTTCGTTTTTGGGGAGATTCTACAGTGAGGGGGATTTGGGTGAGGGGGTTGAAGGAGCGGTTCAATCCAACTATCCAATCATAAAAAAAAGTTTAAGTCCAATATTTTTACCCTCGTTGGGATTGAACTCCTCACACAACCCTCTCATTATAGTATTTTCGTTGTTCTATGTGTAATTGTGTTTTTGGGCTTTGCCCCTAATTTTACCAACAACAAAAAAATTAACAATTAGTAAAATTATATAAATGTTGTATATGTAGTGAATGCCTTAAATTAACAATCACGTTTTCCTTTTAATAAAAGCGATAGTCTAAATTAGTCTTAAACTACTATAATCTAGAAGAAATGAGAAATGAACTTTTAGTTGTAAAAAAGTGGGCACACTTCCCTGTCCAAGTAGCATAATCCACATCCAATCGAAATAGAAGTAAAGCCAATTCCACTCATTTTTGGATTATCAGAAAAGTAGTAGAGCGACACAAACGAAGGTTAGGGTGGTCATATTGGGAGCTTATGGTGATATGTTCCGAATAGAATTTAATTTATAAGTGATATTTTTTTTCAGACCTTCGCATTATCAACATGGCCGTGGGGTTGTCCAACAAATTAGGAAAAATGATATGAGTTAGTTAGGTTCGTTAGCTAACTTAAGCATCATTAGGTGTTGATTGATACTAACTCCAATTAGCCAGTATTCATTAACAAAGATTTTAACACAACATATGTGGTTATTAAGTAGTATATGGCCACTTGTTGTGACCCATGAATTTTTTAGCGAATGTGTAATTTTGAAAGGCTAAAAGCTTTATTAAAAGAAAAATTAACAACCAAATATCCTTCTAATTTAAACAATATCAATGTCATTCATAAGTCATAAAAAAAAAAAATAGCATTACAGATACGCTTTGAGAAGAAAAAAAACGCAGAATACTTCGGATTATTTTAATTCTTGTAATATGGAAAAAAAAAACGCAGCCTTTATAAAGACTAGCCTCTCCGCACGCGCTTTCGCGCTTGCGAGAGGCTTTTTTTAAAAAAATTTAAATTTTATTTTAGAATTAAAAAAGATAATGGGTAGTTGTTTTCCATAAAAATAGGATCCATTATCCGATTTTTCTTTTATTTTTAATTTTTTTTAAATAAGAAAAAGTGTGAATTTACCATATTATCCTCATTTAATTAATAATTTCAATTCTTAATATTTGCATTAACCAAGGGCATTTTCTGGTATTTTGAATGTTTCACCATTCTCTGCCTTTTGCTTTATATATATAGATAAATAATTCTCCAAGTCAAATTTAAATAAAGAGTTGTGCAATCAATGCAAGAGTTTCCTTCTTTTTTTTCTTTTTTTCTTAAAAAAAATCGTTGTTTAAAATGAAAAGAAAAATAAAGCTTGTCAAAAGCCCAAGAATTTAAAGCCATTGTTCTAAAGCCTTTTATCATTTATTAAGCAAGCCCTAGAATATACCCACGAAAGTCCTTGTTGAAGCCTACGAAACGAAAGTCCAGGTTTCGTTTTCTTTTCTTTTCTTTTTTTCGTTTTTTTAAAGATTGGTTCAAAACGGTGTCGTTTTGGCCAGGATGTTTTAGAAAAAAAATATGCGCAAAATGCGCTACGCTACTTTGAGGCAATTCGTCGAACACCTGGAGTGCACTACCCATCCTCAACAAAAGGGCAATATGTAGCACTTACAAAGGCTTTTCCAGCGAAGAGAGTAGCTGCACCTCCTTGTGCCTTAATAGTTCCGCCACTGTATATGGCTATCTTCACAATCACTTTTTTTTTTCCTATCTACAATTGTAATTAATTAAATATTTATTAGTTATTTTATGAGATTGTTAAATTTTAGAGGGATAGACCCATAGCCCACTACTAGCAACATCAATATTGTACCCAACTCAACCATCTGTTTAGCACGTGTGAGATTTTATACAATAGGTCTCGATGATATTAGTAATGAAATCATTCATTATATATTGTATTTTATTTAGTCACATTTCCGATGTGGGATTTATATTCTTCAACACATCTCTTCATGTGAGACCACTACATAGTGGGCCACACGTAGAGCAAAGTCCACATCGAATTCAAACATTCAAGCCCAACAAGTGAACACCACGTCTTGGGTAAAGGTAAACATTCAAGCCCAACATGTGAGCACCACGTACTGGGTAAGGGGTAAGAATAAAGGTCCAATAATTCAGGCTCAGTCAATAAACCCGCTCTGATACCATGTCAAATTTCAGAGAGATGGTTTAGTGGCCCATTACTAGAAACACAGATGTTGTTCCTAACTTAACCACCTATAGAGCCCAATATGTGTGGGGTTGTTATCACAAAAGGCCTCATGCAACCAATTCACAACTCCACCTCTTTCAACAAGGATTTTCTGAAGCATTTCTAGGAGTCCTTGCCCCACTTATATCTAGGATTTTCTTGAGCCTTTGCTCCACTAGCCCACTCCATCTTTATCCATCGCTCTAGGAGTTTATACTTGAGTCGCCTACACCTCGAACAAAGTGCATTTTAGCTGAACTTGACTCAAAGTTAAATTTCAAAAGGACATACCCTTGGCCCACTACTAGCAATATCGATATTGTCCCCAACTTAACCACATGTTTAGCATGTGTGAGATTTTACACAAAAGGCCTCGATGATATTAGTACTGGAACCATTCATTATATGTTGTATTTTATTTAGTCAAGTTCCGATGTGGGACTTATTTTCTTCAACAAAGATAACTAATTCTTTTCTGGATACATTCAACTAAGATAGATCCAAATCACCCGTTTTCTTTTTAAAAGGAAAAGCAATATAAATTTATTGAAAAAATTGTTTACCAAAATAAGAATTAGTTAGCTTAGCTTCTAGAAATGGTTAGCTATCTGTTATTAGCTAAGTCACATGGGTTTATCACGTGTAGCCCACAACTGTAATATTCATGTGAGTTAGTTACAAAGCTTACTTAGAGATTAAGCAAAACTCTACTGTATAAAAAGCATGAGTAGCTTCATATAATCTTTAATCTATGAGATTTCTCTTAATAACAATTCCGAGTTTACTCCTCTGGTTTTCTCTCAAGCATTCATATGTTCTTCT